GCAGGAAGAGTCAAGATCTATGCAGTCTGCACCTTGTCATTTATTTCAAAAGAAACCGAGCTATTTCAGTCCTGTCAGACCCACTGAGAACCCATGGCACATTCCCTCTATATGATATTCTTCTTACAGCGTATCCTGCCCACAAAGCAGCGTAACATTTTTGTTACAAAACATAAGCATTTACTCAGGGTACCCAAGTGGAATCCTAATACAGTATTTCAAATGGTTCCTGCAACCCTTTTACAATTTTAATTGCTGATTCTGCAATAAAACAACTACAATAACATTAATGTGACAAAACTCTAAACTCTGTCTGCAGAGCCACCACATGCACGAGGTTTAACTTGAGATGAGCAATTTGCATTTTACTACAGGGAAGGCATTTTAACAAACCTCTTTGGAAGGAGAGAGTTTCAGTTTAAATGGAATCAAGACCACATACAGAAAATGCTGCAAAACTCACCTCTGCACTCTTCAGAGATTTTAAAAGATTATTCACTGTCTCTGGAAAAGCACTACCCAGCATTCTGCCCATCTTCTCATAAAATGCTCCAACACATGCCACAGCAGCTCTAAAAAAGAGACATTCATAGGCATTTTCATTTTCTGGAACATTTAAAGACAAAAATTTAAGTATAAATGAATGTTTTATTCATCACTGGTGAATAAAAAAACGTATTACCCACTAATCATATTTGTTGTTTGACAGTGCATTTAAATCATGTACTTAATTAAGAAAAACATGGAAGTTATTAGCTTCTTTGAATACAGATGTGCTTGGATTGATATTAGTACATAATCTACAGAGTGAGCTGCAGAAGACAAACATGCACAAACATCAGAGCAAGATCAGGATTTTGTGCACTTGAACTACAGGTGCTTGGTAAAGAAACAACCCTGTGATCTTTGATACATTTTCAAAGATACTGAATGAGACACTTTTTTCAAGCTAAAAACCTAAGATGAATAAATTACTGCAGGAAAGCAAGAATACAGATATATAAACACTGTAAACATCACCAGATTCTTTCCCTGCAGTTTTTGATCACCAAGCTTTGAGAAACAGTGTAGTGCAGTAGGATATGCAAATTGCCCCAAGGTTTTTGTAAACCTGAAATCCTTGGGTAAATGATTTCTTTTGGTAAACTACGTTACAATGTGATTATAGCCCACTGCTTGACTGGCATGCCTCCTGCCCTGCTCTTCTACACAGCAGCAAATTCCCCACAGAATTGCAACAGTTTCAGGTAAAAGGAGGACAGCATCAGCCCCAGAGGTGACTTCAGATGTTATCCTAATGGTGTGCAATAACAGCAACTGAAGGTGGCCTGACCTGGGGACCATTAGAGTATTTCATGTACTCCCTCATGTACCATGGGAGAGCACTGAAGAAGTTTCAGTAGATGCTGTGTGTGGTATTAACCGATTACTATAAATAAGGCTGCTGCTACCTGCAAAGATAAACAGGGTCACATACACATGCACAGACACATCCAAGCATACAGACTTTCCTTGAGAGGTTTAAGCTACATTACAACAGGAGAATATAAACAGGCAGTGCTTGAGGGGGGAATAAAAAAAAAAAAAAAAAACAAAACACAACAAACTTCTTTATTTGGCTACAGTTCTCTCAGCAATAAATAAATGCTCCCACTTGATAATTCTGGCAGGTTCCATTGTAAACTGAGTACCTAGGCCCAATCACCAGTAATACAACTAGTGGAAGTTCTTCACTGCATTACTTCAACTGCTTAACCTCTCCATAGCATAAGAAAGCAAAGAGACATTACATACTCCTTTGCCTAGAGGAAAGCATCCAACTTCCAGACAAAAGCTGTCTGTCACCTTCAAATCCTGCCCTCCACAATCTCAGATATATTCCTTTTTTCCTTCTAGATCAAGCACACACAGACTCCAACTGAGCATGCAAAATGTAAGTTCCACAAAATTTAACTTAACAGGGCACATACACAGGCAGATATTCCTGCAATATCCAGGACTGCTCTGCATTAAAACCACCCCCTTCCCCAAGTAACACCAAACGTACAGTTTTGTGGGCAGGTAGGCTGCAGTATCATCTTTGCTCTTGATGATGTCATTACACTTGTCAAGTGTCTGAAAAACTGTGAACGTGTCTCCAATGCTGTAGAGAGCAGCAAGGTTTTTCGCGAGGAGTTTTCGCGTTGGCGGCCCTGGGGAGCTGCTGATGAGTCCTGTTAGCTGTTCCACCAGTTTCTTCTGTTTCTCCTTGACATCTGTCTGTTAACGGATCAAAAATTAATGAAATAAAGCTTGTTTCCCATAACACCTGGTAACAACTACAAGAGATTGAAGCAAACTTCACACTACTCCTACATAATTTGACAAATTGCTTGTGTCACAGAGGTATGAGATACACTCAAGTAACTGTGGGAATGGATGCTAAATGATCAGAATTAGCTGTTGTTTTATGTAATTTTTATCTTCTTTTACATGACTCACTAAAACTGCAGTATTACTTGTACAGAGAACATTTTAATCCTCTTTCCCATCCAGAATCCTTACAATGGAGAGGCAGGTTTTGCTTTCCAAACATTTACAACACTGAAAAACAGAAACCAAACTAAATGGCTTTTAACAGAGAGTCCAAGTGAGTACCTACAATTCAATACTTACAAACTAAAATGCATCTGAATTACACAGTTGTAACTTGGATGTTACCTACTATCTCTAGCATAAAATTAATACGTTTCAGAAAAAAGAAAGCAATTTACCTTGTTAGCAGCTACCAGCACTTTATCTAAAAATCTCAACCACTCAAAGATGAAGACTGGCCTCTTTGCCTCTGTGATCTGTGCTAATGCTTCCTCGTTCAGCAACAAACTATGAGCCAGCTCCATGCCTGGTTAAGTTCTGGTTTTATCACAGACGGTAGAAACTCTGAAATAAAAATTAGAACATTAATATGTAATACAGTAAAACAATATCAAACTCCAGTGAGCTGAAAATACGAAGATGAAACTTAAAGATTACTGAATCATGATTCAAGCCTGCTTAGATGTACCTTAACTACAGAGTCCGAGATGAGAACCACTCATTTTCAACCATGTACATCCATTAGTGCTTCAGGAATCTGAAAAGTTACTTGCAAAAGGAAAACCAATGGGCAACTGAAGGGGCAAACTCTTAGCCGAGATATATATACTAAAGTCCCTGCCTACAAAAACAAAACAAACACAAAAGAGCTAACAGACATCTCTCACTGCTTCCTCTCACATAAGTGCAGCTCTCACTCTGCTCCAATTGAGACCTTGAGCCCGTTCCTGAAGCTTCGACATGAATCCAGCCACCTCCTCAACCTCTTTCACAGACAAGGTGAGGAAGAATCTCCACCACGAGGACTGGTGGGGAACCAGTAACTTTTGCTTCCAGGAATGACAGACCGATTCTCTCTCTCACATGTGCATGCCCTGAGACACAAAGCATGGGTTCCACAGAAACAGCACAGCATGAGGCCTGCACTGCACTAAACACAGCTCCATGGCACAACAGAGCTCCAGCAGCAACATGTGCAAACAGCAGCACCACCACATTAAGGAAGTCAGAAACACATATTTTCTAGAAATAAGGCTCACTGGTGCTGGCTTAGAACACATCATTAAGAATCACAGGATGACTTACTAACTCACCTATCCAGTAGAAACCAGTAGACGTTATCCTGTAGCCCAAGACAGTTTCGCAATTGAAATTCTGTGATGGCTACAGTTATTCAACTGCAACTGAAAGAGTCAGAGGTGCGGAGGTGGAATTGATATTAATGAGATTTGCTATCCATCACAAATTTGAGAGAGGCAGGAAGCATGACAGGATTTGGGATGGCTGGATCCCTAAACCCACCCAGCCTCACTTTAAGGGACAGATGAGCCTTCTGAAATCCAGGCAGCCTCCCTGGAAGCAGCCAGGATACAAGCAGACTGCAGTTCTCAAAGCAGGCAGACCACTACAGGTCAAACAGCCGAGATCCTGCTCAAACAACGAACTTGGTAGGTGCAAGGCACCACCAAAGCACACTGGTGGGGGAAGCAAGCACTGAAGGCAACATAACTTTAGCAAGCTTCATTTAGATGAACGGGGCAACAAGAGAGAGGAACAAACAACAACAGAGAGGAAAAAAATATTTTAAAATCGCAAAATAAAGTCAACTGTCTCTTGGAAGACAAAGCCAGAAGGCAAAAACAAAGCAATACAACAACAAAAGCACAGCACAACCCGAACCCTGAACTCGGCGGTACTGGACCGAGGGCAGAACAGGAAGAGCAGAGCACCGAGAAGCGTTATGTAAGCCAGCATCTCCCTACAGCGTGCATTCTCAGGATGTTCCCTATGCTCACGGCTTCCCCATTCGTAGCCGAACCCAACAAACGCTTAAAGCGAATCAAAACGATTTCAATTAAACAACTGGATTATTCTTTAAACCAGCCCCCCATCTGACAGCAGCGAAAGGCGCTGTTTTTCCAGTTGTTTTTTTTTTTTCTTTTCTTTTTTTTTCAGAGGCACTGCCTATCACTGACGTGCATCGCCTCAAAACACCTTTACGCGACAGCAGAACGAACGACGATCGTGCAGCCCGGGGGCGGCCGCCCGGAGCCTCGGAGCGCCGCTCCGCCTCAGCCCCGCGCCGCCCCCAGACCGCAGAACCGCCGCTAACGGCGCGCACCTCACGCTCCCACAGCACAGCACAGCGCGGCCCCGGCCCCACAGCGCACCCTCTCACCGCGAAGAGACGCTAGGGCTGAGGAGGCGCCGGCAGCGGCTCAGCTCGAGCCCAGCTGGCGAGAGGGGGAGAAAGGGAGACGCGGGCGGCTTCGCCCAGAGACGCTAGGAGCAGCCCAGCCACAACGCACCTCAGCAGCGCACAGCCGGCCGTGGAGCGCAGCAGGAAGCGGGAAGTGCGCAGGCGCCGGCGGGGGGGGCGGGGAAAGGGGCGGACGCGCGCAAGCGCTTGGCTGGACTGGTGAGCTGGGGCAGGGGTGTGGGGGGTGTTGTGGCCGTGCCCCCGGCTGGTGAAGGGGGTCATCCGGAAAAAGGCGGCGTGTGTGCAGGAAAGCTCATCGGCTGCATCTGTAGGAAACAGGTCTGAGCAGGACATGCGTGCTAGCCATGGGGGATGAGGAAGAGGAAGATTACATGTCTGATTTATTTATTAAGTAAGTAGGCGTCGTTTTTGTTTCATCCTCAGTGATTGTAAGCACGTAAAGCCAAAACCAAAGGTGGGCTAATGCTTGCTGGGGTCATGCATCCTTAGGGAGGATGTGAGGCCGGGGATGCCCATGGTGCGGCGCGTGAGAGAAGCTCTCCAGAAAGAGGAAAAGCAAAAGGAAGCCAACGAGAAGAACAGGCAGAAGAGTGTGAAGGAAGAAGAGAAAGAGCGACGCGACTTGGTGCTGAGCAGCGCCTTAGGCAACGAGAACAAAGGCTTCGCGTTGCTCCAGAAGATGGGCTACAAGAGTGGCCAGGCCCTGGGCAAGAGCGGTGAGTTTGTCACTGTCCGAACAGCACACTGTGCTCAGGTGTCCTCTGAGGGAGGTTGTGCTTCTGTTCGTCCTTAGCTAAGTTGGACAGAGGGCATGGCCGCAGGTTGCACCAGGGGAAATTCAGGTTCTACATTGGGAAAAGCTTCTCTGTAAGAGTGGTTGGTCGCTGGAATGGGCTGCCTGGGGAGGCGGTCCACAAACGTGTGGATGTAGTACTAAGGAACGTGTGTTAGTGAGTGATACTGATGGTCGGTGGACAGGAGATCTCAGGTCTCTTTTCCAACCTTAACGATTCTATGCTGCCTTGTCTATAGAGCCATATCTGCCTCACTGAGCGCCCAGCCATCACTCTTTGTGTGTCGTGGCTGAACAAAAGGTGAGATCAAAGTACTGAAATGAAAATAAAAACATCTGTTGCAAGATGTGAGGGAAACAGCAGGACTTGCTGCTCACTAAATGCACTTCTGTCTGTGTGTGGCTGTGGCATTAAGAAGTTGTTTTGATGGTTGTGGAAAACTAACTGCTTAAAAAATATCAGCCTCCTCTTTGAATTTATAGTTGGAGTCTGGAAAAGAGGTGCACAACAGGAAAGCCTGCTAGATGAAATAGAAAACCAGTGAAGCAAAACATCAATAATTGCTATGTCAGTTTAGTGCATCTCTAGTAGATGATCAGTAAATGAACTGGCCCAGACAGGTTCTTGTAATTCTTCATCTTTCTCAACTTGTGAAATTCTAGAATGAAAAATGCCACAGAAGACTGTAACAAAGCAGCCTTCAGCACAGCTATGCTGTACCTATCAAACCAACATCATTTTCTTCCTCTGGGGTAGCATCCCAGAAGAAGCACACAGCAGTTGAGCAGATGAGGAGAAAAAGGAAAGGGGGCTCAAATCAACTGGGTCATTTGTAAAGCACTAAGTGTACATTAATGTATTTTCTATTGCACTAAGCAAAATTTGAAGAAAATGTATGTGTTTAATGGCAAAAGCAGCTGCCTGCTTGGCTGTACCACACCAACCATAGTTTGAGAAAGACCTCTGTTCTCAAATTTGCCTATTTTTTCCCCTCGCAGGAGAAGGCATTGTTGAACCTATTGCTCTGAACATAAAAACAGGTTTGTGACATTTCCTGATTTACTTAGTTGTACATTACAGCTTTTCAGCTGCTTACATTCCTGTTGTGTACTTACATAGGCAGAAGTGGGCTTGGTCATGACGAATTCAAAAAGCGAAAAGCTGAAGAAAAACTAGAAAACTATAGAAAAAAACTCCACATGAAAAAACAAGCAAATGAACAAGCTGCAGATCAGTTCAGGTAAAATGCTGTAAAGGAAACCCCAAACAAGGTGTAAGCAGCCATTCTTCTTATTCATTAGTTTGGTTACTCTTCTAGAGTTACCAGTTATGCGTGTTGTTTGAATGGGAGGTACGAGTTGAAACGTGCTTGTATTGCTTCTCAGCTCTAAAGCAAGAGCAGGTGAACACTGTACTGGAATTGTATGCTGCGTCATTTATTTTTATAACTGCTAACACTGTAAGCAATATGCATACTAATTCTCAAGTCATTTGTAACATTTTAAATCAGAGAACCATGTCATTTTTAATATAAAATTCATTGATAATCCAGAGCATTGTTGCTGCAGTGAATTTTATGTGCAACAGATTAAAAGTCAGGGTAAATCTTTCAGGTTTTATTATTTTAATTTTCTCCTGATTAGCACCTTTCTATGTGAAGAAGGAAAGGCAAGAGAAGGTTAAAAGCTTTTGCAAATTTTTAATGAGCCACTTTTTCACGGATTAAAGAAACCTAGTGAAAAAGCAGTATTTCAGAGTGCAGTGTTATCAAAAGCTCTGTCTTGAAGGTGTAACTGAAAGGTATAATTCCCCAAAAATACACAGTGGTCCTACAGAAACAGTCAGTGGAGACTTCATAACTCTGCCATTGTCCTGGTCATCTTTATTTGGCATTCAGTAGTCTGGGGGAAGTGGTACATCTAGAATCTTGGCGGATTTTCTATTTTTGAAACGCTGTTGAGATGGATGACAGTCACTGTTTGTCTGCTTATTTTAGCTATCTACCTTTTCTTAACAGAATAAGATTCAAAACCAAACAAGAAGAACGTAAGATGGAGGGAGACCTTCGAAAAAGTCAGAGGGCTTGCCAGCAATTGGATATTCAGAAAGTGAGATATGTTTTTTGGGGGTTGGAAGGAAGGTTTGTGCGTTGGCAATAAAGGCTAAAAACAAAATAGTGATTGAGTGTCTGGAAGTTCTCTTCTGTGAGGAACCATGTTTGTTTGCCTGTGTTTGCTCCTGCTCTTTGGTACTACTGTGCTGTTTGCTTATCATGCATTAGCCAGTGTCAGGCTGTTCTAAATGACTGTTTTCCTTAAGTGGGGAGCAAAATCAGAGAGAATGGTTGAGGCTGGAAGAGATCTTTGGAACTCATCTTGCCCAATGGTTCTGCTCAATTGGGATCACCTAAAGCAGGTTGTCCAGAACCATGCCCAGACTGCTTTTCAGTATCTCAGAAGATGGGGGATCATCACTGAGATCAGTGATCAGTGAGATTCCCAAAGAATCAAATAGACAAACAAAAACACCATGTCTGTGTGCAAGGAATAACATGGGTAACAGCAGTACAACTGCTACCTGATCTCATGCCTGATCTGGTGGTTGGTGACTCTCTGCCTGCAGCAGAGAGGTTGGAACCTTTGAGGTCCCTCAATAAAATTTTGCCACTTAATAAGTTGAAAGCATAAAACAAGTCTTTTTCTTCCATCTATGTTAGTTAGAAGTAAATGCTGCCCTGCAAGTTCTGTTGAGATCAAAACAGACAAAGGGGCATCAAACAAAGAAAGTCAGCTGAATTAACTTGGATTATCTTTGACAGTTTCTTTTAAATTAACTTCATCTAAGGTGAACTAGGAAAAACATCTAATGATGTTGTGATAAAAAGTCTTTAAGCAGTGTGCTCCAACGGACAGAACTGCATTTAGGAAGAAGTATCTGCTCACAGATTTCATGTGAGATTTGCTGTGTAGCTTTATGTGTACCAAACATAGATGGAATTAAACTTGATAAAAGTTAACATTAGCATGCATTTACTTGTATTTTAAAAAAGAGAATAATCCTCCTTGTCGACTGCTGTACTTAGTTTCCCCCTACAACTTCAGTAATTCTTCGTTATACTACACAAGTAAGTTTTGAGACCTAACATCTCAGCTATTAGAAATTATTTTTATGCAGCATTTTAAGAGAACCTGCAGAGGCAGATAATTTTCATTTTAATCCTTCATTATTTAAGGATATTGAAGCACCCAAAGAGATTTGGTATTGGCTACAACCTGAAGAGGAAGACCAAAAGGATGAAGAAGACAAGGATGAGGAGTGCACAGGCTCAGACTTAAGTGTAAGTTTTGCAATTAAATGAATGGCTTGATTCAAAATGAAATTTAATAGGGCTCTAAAAAAAATTATGTATATGTGTGTATATATAATATATATAATTTTCAAAGCAGTAGTAAATGACCTGTTTGCCATCTTAGAGCAATTACTTTTACAATAATTAAATGACAAAATGTGTAGCATTAAAACACTGATTTATTGCTTATCTGCTTTGAAGCTGATCTTTGGAAATAGTCAAAATGAAATTCTCAACAGTCTTAGCCACCATGTACAAGATCATATATTTGATAAGTTTTGATCTTGGATGCCCCACCACATATCTCAGGATGAACTTTAGAATCACTAAGTAATTTCTGAAAACGTTGCCCTGGAAATTCATGTTTTCTGAGAACCTCTAGATTACACCACTGTTAGTGTAACATATTTGACTTACAGTGAAAAAGTGAAGTGTGCAAAATTCCACCAAAACATCATATACTTACTATTAGGTAGATAGGTAATACTTTAGGTAAATCTTCAGTGAAAATTTTGTAGCTGGAAAGAATGATGAGCCAACAACCAGGCCTTATGGATTCCTGTGCTATGGGCTACAAATGTGGGGAACTTACAGTACTACAGTAGCTTTTCCATAGAAAAAGGTTAAACAAGCTGTTTTCACAGTGCTAGTAGCTCAAATTGTCTTACATTGTATGAGCCCCTAATCACTGAATCCTTGTACATACCTCTAGGTATCAGCAAAGCTACAAATCCTGACTGCTTATTTAAGAGAACAACACTTCTATTGCATTTGGTGTGGAACAACCTATGAAGGTGAGAGTAAATGTCATGCATGTATGTGTTTTACTTTGCTTATGTAGTTAGACTTAATGCAGTGTATATTCAGCCTTAATGCTTTCATAAGAACTGTAAGAACTATGCCCACACTTTCTGTGGAAGTTGTTCTTTCAAGTCATTTCTCCATTTCCGAGTTCCAGAATCAAAGACCATCAACTTCTTGATGTGGGGGTCTGATAGCATTTCATTACTGCCCTTCGTAATGCAGATGGCTGATTGTAGATAGCTTCAACATTATCAGAAACACTTTTCAAAGAGAATTCCCATCAGCTTACGCATGCTACCTGAATAATTTTGTGTTCTGTTTTGCAAGTTGGCTTATCACAGAATCATAGAACTGTAGAACGGCTTGGGTTGGAAGCAACCTTAGTGATGACCTAGTTCTAACTTCCCTGCTGCGGACAGGGCTGCACCCACTTAGGAGCAGGGGCCAGGGCCCCATTCAGCCTAGTCTTGAATGCCTCCAGGGATGGGGCCTCCTCAGCTTATCTGGGCAGCCTTAGACAGGGGTTCCAGTGCCTCATCATCCTCTCAGTAAAGAATTTTTTCACAACACCTAACCTAGAGCTACCTGCTTTTAGTTCATTAGAAGCTTATCGTTATATGGTCTGATGGCTTGCACTCAGCCCTCATCCAGGCCCAGGATTCCCTCCATGTGAGGGAAATATAACTATCCTGCACTAGTTGTTTTTTTCCAGAGAATTTACTTTCTTATGGGAATGTTTTAAACATAGGTAACACAGTTTCCTTCCAAGCTGCTGGTTTGCAAAAAGGATGACAGATTCTCACTGTAAGGCACTGTAAGGGTGTTATATGCACAAAAAATTCATACTGCTCTTATATGAATTGGTATTGGTTTGAAAAAAACAACATTCAGATATTAAAAATAGTGCAAAGAATACAAAGAAAGAAAACAAAGGCTGCAGGTTTAGAACACTGTCTAGTTTCTTTGCACCAAAGAAGCTAGAATTTGTGGTGCCATTTTTGTTCAGCATTTTAAAACATAGTTTGGAATTAATAATCTGCCAGTCCTAAGTTCTATTTAATCTGTTGATGGCTTCTTCAAATAATTCTAGCAACTTTTTTTTTCCTCCTCTTCTGAACTGGCATTATTTTTTTTCTGCTTATCCCATAGATGCTGAGGATTTGTCTTCAAACTGCCCCGGAGACAGTGCTGCAGATCATGACTAAAGCCTTTCTAAAGAAAGGAGTTCTAGATAAGTATGTATAGTTGGTATGCTCTGACATATATATATATTTTTAATAAAAGTCAGTGCTGTGCCAGAATTCATGTAAAAGTGTGCAGTCGAGAAGTAATTCTGACAGGTTGAACTTCACATTTTGGAGCATTTCTATGTTGGTTTTTTTTTGTTTGTTTTTGTTTTTTTTTTTTTGTTTTTGTTTTTGTTTTTATTTCATTTCTGGGTGATGCAACATTTATTAGAAATTAAAATTTTACATTTGTTGTTGTGTTACTGTAAATTCAAGGCAAGTAAGACTTCCACAGTCTTTGTTAATGCTGTCCCCAATTGAGCAAGATCAACTGATAATAAAATTGAAGGTTTGAGAAAGGATATATATATGGACTGATTACTCTGTGACAAAATATGTTAAACAGGTGGGGGAGTTACATTTTTACAAGGGTGACTAAACATCAGTTTATTTTTTCTTTCTATTCTAGAGTTTGTGACCAGGGCAAGGCTTTTGAAATGCCACTAATATCATTTGAACTAATATTCTGTTATGTGTGTTTACCAGGTCACAGAGCATGTTCAATTTTTTTTAAATATAAATATATTTTAATATTCTTTTTTATTCTTAGGGAATAACAATTGCTACTGTAAACATCCACTAATAGAAAGGTATTACTGAGGTATATAAATACCACAAAAATAAAATAAAATAAAATCTATCAAAAACTACTGGTACAAGGTAAATATTACCTATCAGTAAGTAAGCCATGATGTTATGGATGTTCTGTCCAGAGACTGCAAAGGAAATTCAGCTGAAATTTGTCCTATATCAATTTTCATATTGTAAGAGCAATTTTAAAGTCAAAGGTAAGTAAAACTGGTGCTATTTTGTCTGCATCAGGATGTAATTTCTCCCACATCTTGAGTACTGCAAGGAAATATGCATTAGTCCAAAATAACGGAATGCTTTATTTATGAAGAATAACATTCATTATAAGGGGAGGGGGAACAACTCGAATTCATACAAATGAATGTTAAAATCAGATAGCTATTCAGCAACAATTTCCACAAGACTATAAAAATTCACATATTCATATTTTAACCAACCACACACCTTCAACCTGTTTAACACTTGAGAAAAATCATATGCTGCCTTATCTCTAATGCATATCATACTTTCCTGCTTAGAAGTCTTAGTGCGTTTTCCTTTAAGGAATTCAGCAGGTGCCACAGCAATGAGCTGCACCTTTTCAAACTATTCAAAAATGAGTCAGAAGGAATAATTTGCCCATTTTTTCTTCCCTGCAGAGTTCTTATTCAGTCAAACATAAAATCTTTAGAGTATGTAACCAGTAATGGTCAGTCTGCTCACGCCTTATGTTGAGCTGACAGTAAGGCCAGCAGAGTTGGCCTTACTCAGTACACCTGTAATCCGTGAGAATGTCTCAATGCCATAATAATTGATAAAAACCTTACAGTATAGGAGATGATGTCTAAGGTGCTCTCCTGAGAAGGATTTTTAAATGGTTGCTATTGAGAAAACTTGGAGAGTATTTCTTATTAACAGGACCCTACCTGTTCCTATAAGAAAGAAGAAAACAAAACAAAAAACAAACGGAGGTTTTCAGAAGTACAGAACAAATAGCTTCTGGGAAAGAAAGAAATACTTAAATGTTCAAGGAAGACCTGATTTTAAAAAGAAAGTTTTAAATTTTAGAATAGTGAAGATGCTAGGTATTTCAAGAAGTACCTAGTGAGAAGAAAGTTCACCTTAAAGAAGTAAAATTCAGTCAAGAATAACCCACACGTGTATCTATTTTTTTTCTGCAAAAAGTAGGCTTTCCAGTCAAGCACACTGACTCCTCTGGTCTTAAAAGGAAGAAGTCTAGTAATTAATATAAACATCACTGTGAGCAATTCAGAAAGGTTTGAATCACAGGCCACGAGACAGCACAGTCTGAAAGCCTTCTAAAATGGCATTTAGTGACTATAAGCTTTATGTGAGTTGTCTTTATCAACAGACTTCAAAATATCGAGTATTTGAGATGCAGAGAATCGTTTTGAGGGGTCTTTTGAAAGCATCTTTTTGATTATGGGTACCTGCAAAAAGACAAAGTTTGAGTAATTTTTTTTTAATGATTGTGTAAATAAATTAACTGAAATAATGCATTGAAATCCCGTACCTGGATTTGAAATTGCTTGGTGAAGTCTGGTGGAAGTTTAGCATCTCTAACATCCTCCCATATCTGAAATTCATACAAGATAAACTTTCAGTATGCTTTCCTTAATTATACTTTACCTCATTTTATCACCCATGTCATTTACTGAAGTAATTAAGAGAATATAAAGTAAGGCTTCTAAAAGGAACTACAGAAGTTTGGAAGTTTGTCATTTGGTTGTACTCCATTTTGTCTTATTTATATACTTGTCCCTGTGTAAGATGAAAAGCTTCACAATCTACAGTGATGCATTTGTTTTGGCAAACCTCTAATTCATAGCCATTATCATTCTCTTTTCAGTTTAAAAGTAATGGTTTTGTATCTTCTTGCCCACATTAAAAAACACACACAATGTGAGAAGACAGTTTCCCACTTCGACAGTGTTTGGATGTTTTACTGGCAAACCAAGCAGGCGTGCTTCCTCCTTTTTACCTTGTTCAGCATTACACAGTTGTTTCTGTGTCACTGCAAAAAATGCTAGGTGGAGCTCAAAGCAAGGCTGAGGATTACTAAATATATGCTTTCAAACGCTACTGCTAGGTAACAACTATTTTTTCACATTAGGGTTTCCAGTTAGTCTGGCCCTTCGAACACCGTGGGACTGGGGACATGTTTGCAGTTGGCTGTAAGCAGGCACAAGGTGTCTTTAGAAAATGTGACAAAGTAGACTAACAGAACCACCATGAATCTGTGAGTCAAGATACTTTGATGTGGTTTGCTTATATTAGCAAAGAGTCGGCTAACAATGTGCATGATCCTCTGGGTCCAGCCACATGCATATATCTTAAAAAATAATTACTTTGGACAAGGTATTCAGTATCTACATTCCTTATATCTTATATGTATATATTCCTTATATTACAAATATGTAAGTTTGAGCATACATGCTGTTCTACTACAAACATGCAAAGAAAAACACACATAAAAGATACATTTTCAAGCAAAGTTTAAGTAACGTTGTTTTCTTTGTGGAAGTACCATTTTGTTTTCAATTGGAAGAAAGCCATATATTTCATATCACTTTTGTTTTCATTTTGAAAACCTGCAAATGTTTTGACTTTGTTCTTTCCCCCCCACTCAGCAGTAAAGAAAAGTATGGCACAGAATAAACTCTTACACTTTTGACTTCTTTTTACATTGAGAAATATTCTTTCCCAATACTCTGAGCAAACAAAAAGCTTTATCAGAAATTTGAACTGTTTTTGTATGTGTTTTAGCTTTTTGACTCGCTTTGCTATTTTCATATGTACATACCTAAGAATAGTCAGGCTTTAATCAGCACATAATTAGAACATAAGTAAAATAAAACCAGTAATGTTTCTTCAGTTGTTACATTTTAACTGAAGTAAGAGGGATTAATGGGCCTGACATTTTTCCCTTCATTTGTGTCTGTAAATAGAGACAGTACTGTAGCTGTACAGGTTCCTTTTGCCATATAATTAGCATAAGACAGCAGCAGCAAGGCAAAACAATGTCAGTGCAAAACTATTTTTTTATTTAAAGATTACATACCCTATTTTTCTCATGATGACTGACCAACGCAGAAAGAACTTCAAACCAAATCAATCCCAGCGCATAAATGTCTACTTCCTTTCCATATCTGTCCCCAGACTACAAAGATCACAAGAAAATACAGTTGTGAAATCCTGCTGGAAAGCATTTCTTGAAGGCAAAATCTGAAATCAGTAGAAATTGGCACCTACTAGAGGACCAGCATTACTTCATCTTCATATTAATCTTTAACCCTTTCTGCTACAGACCTGCTAAATTACATTACAGTGTCAGACTTTATACAAGCAGGTTAGCTAAATTAAACCATTGTGTTGTAGACTACCCTCTCCAGAGTAAGGTTACACTTGTATACAGTCATATCAGGGAACTTCAAGCAACTTGGTTTAGTACTGAGATTAAGGTTGAACACAACCAGTGCTGAGTTGATAATGCAAAACACCCACAAATAAGTCAAATAATATAGCAAGATAATTACCTGTTCTGGTGCCATATATGACTGTGTTCCTCTGTTCTTAGTCAGAGGGTCATATGTCACAGAAGTCACAAGACCAAAGTCACCTATTTTTATTTTACCTTCATGTGATAGGAATATATTCTGAGGCTACATATACATAGATATATTTAAAAAAAAAAAAAAAAGTCAATTAGTTAGACATTTTATGACCGAGGTTTATCATCAAGCATAATCAACCACAGAAGTGCTCCCCATAAAAATCTGCTAATTGTTCACAGAAATTAAGCTTTAAGAAATCAGTGGGAGGTAAGAAACAAGAAAGTTCAATTAACTTCGTTTTTAAACACTCAAACTCCATTTGAAATAGCATATGCTACATTAACTGTTTTTTAACTAGGTGTCATGACTGTATCACACTTCAGTGTTCTCCAATTGCAGTGTGCATATCATCTGTCATACCCACAAATGCATTTTTGTCTTTAATCTGGACCCTGGGATTTTATGCACTTGGGCAAAGCATGTAGGTTTACATGAAATTCCACTCAAACTGTAGATTTTTCCCTAGACACAGTAGGATTATCTGTACTAGATTAATTGCAGAGTTGGGACTTACTACAGTCATCTCAAGGTATCACTTTGAGCTTATCATTTTTAAATTTGATAAAGTCATAAGGAAATGAAATAGAATTGGATTTTTTTTTTTTAATGAATTTTTCCAAAACATCTATCACTCCAAAGATGGTAAACTGTATTTCTGAGTGTTATTAAAGCAAAACCAAGCAGCCTCATCCTGTCTTTTACTCAAAGAAAATCTGGTGGACTAAAAGGGCGGGAGAGAGACTTAAAATTTTACAGGAAGTGATCTTTGTGTCAAGGATGCCCAGCACAGTTCTTCTCTTCAAGTATAACCAAGTCCACACGCATTTATTAACAGTATCTATGGTGTCTCACCGCTACGCTATCTGAAGGCTTCATTCATGCCAGGCACAAGTGGATCTCAGAATGAAGAAAGCTTGAACCTATCCTGCAGCTTTGATTCTGGGAGATCTCAGATGGCCAAGCACCTAAGCTGACAGATTTAATTGGGACAAAAGTTCCTAAATTAAAATGCAGACAGACAAGATAGCAAATAAAACTTGGAAGCAGATTACAGCTAGTTTCCATAGATGAAAGATTGGGGCAGTAGATTCATAGGAATACAGAAAAGCAGGAGATAGAGTTGAGGTGAAAATAAAGTGGGACTAAGAAGGAAGAAATGCAGACGTGGAGACAAAGCATTCAGCACACCTTTTTTTTCCCAGATATCTATATAAATTAATGTATATTTGTGGTTCACTTCAGCATTGTAGCAATAAGCCTCAAAAAAAAGGGACTCTAGGAGATAGTGAATGTATGTGCCCATGAGACAAGAGTCTAAGAGTGGGCACTCTTGGAGTGGAACATCATCTGGAAGGACACTGTGAATGCAAAGAAGATTTCAGCCTCTAACTCAAGAAGTTTATGAAGTTAAAGTTACAGAAGGTCTTGAGAGGAATGGAATATGCATCAAGATCAGAATCACTGTATCAACTCTGTATTCTAATACTCCCTAGGTATTTGGAATTAATTACTATATGAGAACAATATTCTGAATCAATATTTAATGTGATCTACTACAGGCATTTTCAGAATTTAGGAACATCACCACTCAAACAACTTGTTCACAAAGGGACTGGTTTTAAAACTATAAGCAAAATTATAGCTGGCACATGAAGCAGTGAAAGCTTGGAATTTTGTCCTTTCAAAATATTTTCTTAAGATTGGATGGTTATGCACTTGTGGAGATAGTGAGGTAGTATCCAAAGAACTAGCCTTCAAATATGTGTACACAGTACATGATACTAGAACAATTTTTATCAAACACAGTACGTCTAAGGATATACCATCCCTTTAAAATTTGACAAGTGACAACTTCCTAGACTCACATCTTCCTTCTTTTAATTGCTTTATTACCACAGATGGTTAGTATTCCTTCTTCTAAGAGGCTGTTTTGTGACCCAACAACACACAATACACTGAAAATGCCTGTTAACTGATGGCTACTGGTTTTGGTTGGGTTTTCTTATTTTTTTATTTTAATTTTTTTTTTTCCTTAAGTACTGCATTCTAAGGTCCTTTAGTTCACCTCCTGATTTTAGAATGACATCCAACCAGATATTGGGGAAAAAAAATGCTTGTATTATCAAAAGAGGCATGGTACTAGAGTATATAATAGAGTAAGCAAAGACTAGAACAATTTACGTTTTTCTAAACTTCCAATAAATACTACTTTTCTCAAAGATTTTAGAAATTAACTTCCTACTCTACTTACCTTGAGGTCTCTATGAATTAAATTTTTAGAATGAATATAGTCCACTCCTTTCAGTATTTGTGAAAATTTGTCTTGTGCCATCTCATGATAGTTTTGGTTTTGTCTATTATTTTCAATCCATTTTTCCAATGGCCCTTGTTCACATAATTCCATTTGGATGAAGAGGCAAGGAACTGCTATGACAGAATTCTTACTGCAAAAAAAAAATATATATATATATATCATATTAAAATTGACAAGATACAATTCTTCCTAAGCCACTGCATCAATGATTCCCATGTTTTCCCAGTGGTAAAAAACAAAGAAATAAAAAACCCAGCCATCTACTTTTTTTTTTTAATTGTTATTCTAGATTTAAAAGACGTTATACCACGGTGTACTGGATCTAACCACATAGCTTTCCAAAACAAGCAATCCTTACTCAGTTGCTACATAGCCGTGGAAGATTCTCTTCACCTCCTTGTTCACACTGAAAATTTTCTGAGTGCCCCAATTCTTCCCTCCCCCGTCCTCCCCCATATGTAGAAGAATGTCCTATAAAGGAAGAAATAGCACTGTACTTGAGTCGCATCTCACCCTCAAGGAACTACTGCAAACCTCTGGTCCACTACGCACAGCATTAATCTTCCCCTCTTACACAAAATGATCATATTCTTTCAAATTTAGTCCTTTAAAGAAGGGGTGATCATGTTTTACATACATGGAAAGTGTTCAGAGTCAGATTGGACAAGGCTTTGAGCAACTTGATGTACTGAAAGATCAAGTTATATATGGCAGGGTTAGTTGGAACTGTGTGATCTTTAAGGGTCCCTTCCAACCCAAACCATTCTGTGACTGTATGATAAGCCTGTGAGTCTGAAAGTTGGAAGTCTAAGTGAAATACATTCATGGATTTGGCAGCTTCACACTTTCCGGAAGTGTTCCCTAACTACCAGCCCATAGAATAAGACTGGAGATGAGAAGGAAAAGGACAATATGGAGGAGAGGAGGAGGAAACACTTCCTCGAGGTCAGGGCACTAAGTGGAATTCCAGGCTGAAGCTTCAGCCTTGAGGAGTTTTTCTTTTATCCAGTAATCATTTGAAATGCATGAGTGATGTTGAGACTCCAAGACAGTAATGGCTGAGTTTTCACATGAAACTTTTTTTTTTTAACTGCCCATTTCATTTCCCTTTTTCTGAATGCACTGAACATATACACCAAGCATAATTTCAAATGCGCTGATATTTTATGGCTGTATGCAGTGACCTACCTGAAAGAGTGCAAATGCATTGCTATGAAGAAGACTTACCATAGAAACTATGAAAATTTAATAACCTAACTTACTAGTAAAATTCTCACTTCTGTCTGCCCAGAACTCTTAGTGCTGGAAGACTATTTCTAATGAAAGAGCTTTTAATTATGTATATCTACTCTCAACAGCTCTTTGTTTGCAACAAAAACAGACATCACAATTAAAATGCAAATTTAGAGAAATAATCAAGTCTACGAGTTACTGAATGACCAGTAATTCTGAAAAGGGGATTTTAAAAAAAAAAAAAAAAGGGAAACTTCTAATCTGGGATTTGGCAGCCAACTACCAGAAAGTTTTATTTTAATTCTAACCTCATATCTTTAATTCTTCATTCTTACACTTTCCTATAGATTCAGCAACTTCTGTATGCTAAGAGAGAGGAGAAAGGTAAAATTACAAAATGTGCAGTATTCACCAAGAAGGTATTTAACTATAAACCATCTGAAAAGTACTGTGCCTTATTTCCTTACACTAGGTATGTAAGTATCTGAATGCATTTATAGCTGTGCATTTTGAATTTGAATTGTAAAAACAAAGGCTGATGATTGCTTATACAAAATTCACTATGGCAAACAAGTCTGTGAGTGCAAATGACTGTCATGTAGTTACCTTGACTCTGGGTAAATCATACAGTCAGTCCCTTCCCAGCTGCAATAATATCGCACTATGTTTTCATGTTCAAGATTTGCGAGTTCTTTCACTTCACGCTTCACTTTCCTACTGGGAGAAGAGAAAAAATCACAAGCAAAACAAACGGCATTTTCCCACAAAAATGAAATACTGAGTTAACTGAAAGACATGACGTCAAGTAGTGGTAAGCAGATAGTTTAACATCAGTTTTGAAAAACAGCACAATGTTTTTGTATGGTAAGAACTGTAATTACAAATTGTCGGGGTTTTCTGTTTTTCCCATTGGTTCAGTTGTTTCATTTGCTAAAATGCTGTAACCATATTAGAAAAACCCCACTCAAAAATGCTGGAAAAGTTTTGTTTACCTATACAAAAGTTTGTAAATCTTCCCAATGAACTGTTAGTAAATTTGACCTACACTTCCTGTTAAATTGCATAGTGAAGACTAGCAGTCTTTACTGAAGAATCAATAAGATGTTTTTCAGTACTGACCCCAGTTACATATTGTATTGATGACTATTTCCAAATTTAAGTTAGCTATTTCATAGGGAATTACTAGAAACTTTCTGGATAGATTACTGAAAAGAAGTGCAAGTTTTTCAGCTGCTGTTGAAGTATTCAACCAGGTACCAGTTACAGAAAATTACCTTTTAAAAAATTGATATCATTATTCTGTGTGGAGATTTGTAAAGGACAAGGTGTCAATCTTACATATTATGTGTGAAGTGTTTTTCAATTACATACCACAAAATGTATTACTTTCATTTTTATACATTTCCCCTAACTATAGTCATTATGAATTATGGATAAGTAGATTTTCAGACAAGATGTCCTGTCAGAAGTAACATTGCTGCTTGCAATGTTTTTATTAAGCAGCAAATTTGCTTTAAACACATACTACAGTATTAAATAGAATTCATTAAATTCTGTACAAGTGGGTTCAGAGAAAGCAGAGCTTACTAAATCTGCTTTCTTACAGCTGCACCTAAAATAATTCCAGTGCATGCAAAAATGAAGAGTTGCATGTGCTTTTCAGCCTAATGTAGAAATAAACAATCTATCAGAAAGACAATAATGAAAGTCACTTAAATGTTCCACAGACTACTAAAAAGATAACAGAACTAAATAATGAGAAACTTGATTAAGGATGTCATAAAAGAAAAACAAGCGAACAACAACAAAAACAACACAGATATGCAATCCTTACTTTATTAACTCAACTCGTTTGACTGCATAGGTTCTCTCATCAGTCCTTGATGTTGCTTTAAAAACATTCCCAAAACCACCTTTACCAATAGGCTCTATATTTTTATACTCCCGACGAAATCTTAAAAATAAGAGAGAGAGAGAGATTGAGTTCTCCAATTGAAGATTAATTAACACTAAATTTACAAGGTAAAAGAACAGTCTTGATACGACTAATACATCTGCTGAAATGTCACTGTCCCGCAATCAGTCAATACATACAAAGGTATGAATCACTCTTAAAAAAAAACCCACAAGGGAACTCAGCTCTAAAATCAGTAGTTACAGCTCTCGTCTGAAATGTGAACGAATGGATGCCAATCCTACTTCTAGTAAATATTTCAAAATTTGTACAAAAAACCCCACAGTACTTCATCTGAGTGCCTACACCTACGGATAAGAGACTCATCCAGATTCTGAGCTTAAGTTTGGTCCTGCTCCAGGCAGAAGGAGATCAACTCCTCGCATTAGTAGTGACCACAGAGAACACAAAAATATTTCTAAGAATTAGGTCCTAGTATTCTTCCAAGTAATTTGAACTTGAGAAACACCCTCTCTTCTAACATGATAATTGGGAAAAGGCTAAGAAAGCTGGGACTGAGAGCCTTGAGAAGAAAAAGCTCAGGGGGAAATCCCATATTTATAGATATCACACATATATATACTTGAAGGAAGGGTGCAAAGAAGATGGAAGCAAGTTCTTTTCAGTGGTACCCAGTGCCAGGACGAGACAATGGGAACAAAGTGAATGCAAGAGTCATCATCTAAACATTAGGGAATACTTTTTTACTCTGATGGTAACCAAGCACTGGAACAGGCTGCCCAAAGATGTAGCAAACTCTCCGCCTCAAACATATTCAAAACCTGTCAGGACATCATGCCGGGCAGTCTGTTTAGATAACCCTGCCCAAGCAGAGGATTGTATGAGATGATCTCCTTAAATCACTTCCAACCTCAACTATTCTGTGGATAAAAAAGATGACAAATTCATATCATCTCCCTATCCTTTCAATTTTTTGTTTTAATCCAGGTAGATGGCAAGTCCAACTAATCATGAGCTATTCCATCTTTAGTAAGTGTATGGATGAAGAACTTTTCCCACAGTACAACAAGAGAAATAAAAATATTATTTGCTAATATTTCAGATAATAGACAATAACAAGGAGGCAATTTGATGAATCAAGAAGAATACCAATAATAGGCTGCCATAAACCAGCATATCTGATAGATTTTCTTTTATTAATGTTATGGTTAACCTTTGTAACCTACATCTCTCTACACATCTCCTATGAAGAAATGTTGAGTGAACTGGGCTTGTTTAGACTGGAGAAGAGAAGGCTCTGGGGAGACCTCATTGTAGCCTTCCAGTATTTGAAGGGAGCATATAAACAGGAGGGGGCATGACTGTTTATGAGGGTGGATGGTGATACGACAAGGGGGAATGGTTTTAAACTGAGACAGGGGAGGTTTAGGTTGAATATTAGGAGGAAGATTTTCCACACAGAGGGTGGTGATGCAATGGAACAGGTTGCCCAAGGAGGCTGTGGATGCCCCATCCCTGGAGGCATTCAAGGCCAGGCTGGAGGTGGCTCTGGGCAGCCTGGTCTGCTGGTTGGTGACCCCGCGCATAGCAGGGAGGTTGAAACTGGATGATCATTGTGGTCCTTTTCAACCCAGGCCATTCTGTGATTCTATGATTCCATAACCACTGTGCCAGTAGAAGACAATGTTATCTGCTGTGCTTCAGTTGAAATTTTGTTTGAAAGCTGGAAGGATACTTTCCCTCTCATCCTCACACAAATCGCTCTTGTTTGTAAGCATTAAATATCATTGCAAGTCAGTTGTCACAGCACATTTAAAATTTCCAAAAAACAAATCTCAAATATCAATTTTCTTTGAAGATGACATTTACAGCAATATTCTCTCACATTCTATTATAAATAAATAACCTAGACCACCACACGCTGTAATTGCTGTATACATCTTAGAAAAAACTCCTTCTTACCTTTCATCCACAGTATACTCATCATCTGCCTCCCTCTTATTTCTGCAGATATTTGACATCAGTTTTTCCTGCTCGCTTCTCACATTATTAAAATTAGGTGCCAATGCTCTTTAACAGAGATAAAAATAAAATTTATAGTGAGCCATTTTTCTAATATGTGACAAGAGAAAAGAAACATACCAACCAAAAGTGGCACTTACTTGTTGGATACAAAAAAAAAAACAACAAACCCACTACAGTAGGTTTAAATATAGTTTATGAATGGTGCAATCTAGAAATACACACATACCTTTTGGATTTTATAGCAGAACATGGCACATTTCTCTACAGAAAAAAAGAAACAAAGTCAAATTAGATAGCCTGGATATTTTTACTGCATTTAGGTTAAAACGTGACTGTAAAAGTATACGAGATTTACCTACAAATGCATTAATGTCTTATATTTATTAAAAAAAAAAAAAGTAGAATTCAAATATGAACTACACGCAGGACTCGAAGTAAAGTCCTGTGATCCTTCTGTAAATTAGGACCTATTGACTCCCTCGAAGGTAGAGAGGCCTTGCAGAAAAATCTTTAGAATTTAAGGATTGGACAATTTAACAAGAGCAAGTGCTGGATCCTGCACCTGTCACAGGGTAACTCTGGATCTGCGTACAGTCTGGGAGAAAAAATGCTTGAGAGCAACTCCACAGAAAGGGATCTGGGGGTTCTGGTTGTTAGCAAGTTGAATCTGAGTCAGCAGTGTACTGTCAGCCCAAAGGGCCAACTGTACCCTGGGGCGCCTCTGGCCCAGCTCTACCATCAGGCGAGGAGAGGGATTGTCCTGCTCTGCTCTGTGCAGCCTCACCTCCAGCGCTGGGTGCAGTTTTGAGTGCCATGATATATGAAGGACATCAAACTGCAAGGGCTGCTCCAAAAGTAATACCTCTTATTTTATTATGTTGGCCCATGGCATCAGAAGCAGATGTTGATGGTACAACAGTAGAGGTTGAACCTTTTTGACAGTATTCCATTAAATTTTGTTGCCATGTGACAAATGACAGCAGAGGGGCAGTCTGACAAAACGGCATCTGACATGGAAGCACATACAAAGCAAATGTGTTAATTCAGTTCTTCCATGTGGAAAAAAAATTGCACCCATTGGCATTCACTGATGCTTGCTGGACATTTCTGGAGACCAAACCATGGATATAAGCACAATGGGGTGGTGGGTGGTGCGTTTCAGCACTAGTGACAAAGGCAGTGGTCCCCTCTACTGGTGCAGATTTTTACAAGTATGGCATGCAGGCTCTAGTTCACTGCTGGCACAAATGCAGCTAATGATGGTGACTGTATTGGAAAACAGTTTCGTAACTGAGAATTTGCTCCATCAGATAGAGCACAGTTGCACTACCTGTAGCAGTTTCTGTGAAAATAAACAGGAGGCATTATTTTCAGAGTGACATGTCCAAGGGAAGGCAATAGAGATGGTGAAAAGTCTGTAGGGCAAGACGTGTGCGGAGCAGCTAACGTTCTTTGGTTTGCTCAGCCCAAAGTAGAGGAGCTGAGGGGAGGCCTCATGGTGGCTGCAGCTCCTAACAGGGAGCAGAGGGGCAGCGCTGAGCTCTGTGAGACAGCAACAGAACCCCTGAGTAAGGCACGGAGCTGCCTCAGGAGTGTATCAGGTCAGGCTGGGGATTAGGTAAACGTTCTTCACCAGAGGGTGGTCCGGCACTAGAACAGGCTGCTCAGAGCAGATACAGCGTTTGAATTTAGGTGGTGCTATATGATCCAGGAGCTGGACTTGATCCTTGAGGACTGTCCCTTCCAACTCAGGATATTCTGCAATTCTTGCTCTATTGAGAGACTAAAATGTAATTATGAAGACTATTTTTATACTATACCCGAGAATTTGTAGGCTCTTCAGATAGTGACATGTCTTTTGCTTTTTCTGTCAAGTTTGTAGCTGAGTCTCTAAAGGTAATTTCACTGTTATGGAAAATAACAAATCCGATTTTAAGTGAAAGTATGTAATCATGAACAAAAACAACAAACTTTCTGCAGTGAAAAATGAAGCATAGAAATAAAGCCAGCTTTTATTTAAAAGACCTGTGAAAGTATGTGAACAGTCTTAACTGTTTTAAACTGCAAAACTTTATCAGGAGAGCCAGTAAAAACAGTAACATTATAATATACTCCTCCATTTCTACAAAATCTAAAAAGTATGACATCCTTTAATTAAACAAATGAAATAGAGGTGTTTATTTCAAAGCAGTGCAGCCAGCTAAGAATACACTGCTTTACATTGCCACAAAGAATGTCAAAGTGGTAATGGTGTTACTGTCAAATTAACTGCTAGGCATTAAAGGCTTGACATAAGATTCTGAAATTGCAAACAAAAGATTATACATGCTCGTTTACTTTTGTAAGCAAATTTTCTCTTCAGAAGAGATGAAGATTTACGAAGAATAAAAAAGGAAAAAATAAATAAAAGAAATCACTGTTGAGTACAGAAAAGTACTGAAAGAGTTATACTACGTTCACAAATGTGTCACAATAGAAGAACAAATGTTAGAAACGTCATGAAATAACACTGCTGGTAGGAGAATCTTTATTCATTTTATGTTGCAGTAAAAATGTGGTAGAACTATTCAGTAAAGAAACTATGACAGTATTTTTGGATCAGATCACATGAGCCCCTAAAAATCAGTAAATGTTTTGTATTATTGTCATAGTACCAGTGAACCCAACTTACCATGACTCAGACTGACTCTGCCCTCCAGCGGAATTACTAAGTTCACAAAACAGAGAACTAGAGTTTTCACTTCTCGGCTGAAAAACGGGGGGGGGAAAAAAGAATAGTTGAAAAAAAATCACTTAAAGAATCCCTGCTACAAAAACATACCCTTCTAAGAGGAAGGTCCTAAGTGGCAGTTGTTAACAGCTTGATTTGGGATCAGTATTCAATTTCTGATGCTTTTGAGCATGTATGGAAATAAAATGGCTGTCAGACAACAGCTCTGCTTCCTAAAGGACAGCGTTAGCAATTGCTTTACTAGAATCATCCCTGGGACACCACAGGAGTCAGCTCTTGATTTTAACTCCCGCTTTTGCCATTCTCACACTTCAAAGATTAATGATCCAACAAAAGGCAGCAGATTTATGCTTATGGCCAGCCTGCTTGACAATTCCGTTCTGTGACTTCACAGAACAGAAAAATGGCATATTAGAATAGGGAGGAGTCAGAATTGTTTTTTAATATACATTGCCACTCAAGGATGCATGTATCAGACCATTTTCTGAAATACACACACATAACAACTGTGAGATTTTTTAATCCAGCAATTGAACAGAAAACCTGATAAATTTTACCAACAGAATCCTGCAGCCCAACCAACATAAGGTGGATTGTTTCCACCTTCAGCAGAATTTACAGAATATGTTTTTATACAAAATAAAGAAATTTGTTTAAGGGATTAAAGAATTTAACTTCAGTCTTAAGGCAAGCTATAGCACATACTCTTGAAGATTCTTGCTCCTGTAACACTCTATATGCTTCTTTTGCAGCAGCTTGTTTTGCAGCAGCTAGAGAGTTTCCAGTGCCATTTCCATATACATGACCACTAATTGTACAGCTACAAGAATACCTGTAAAATATGACAGAGAATAAAATCTCCTTACAACCTATATTACAAGTTTTAATTTAATGACTTTAAACACTACAGTTAACTGACATTATAGAAAAGAAACCTGATATATGCACCTTCAGGAGTGAATTTCCAATGTATGTTTAATGTAACTAGTAACAATAAATAATTTTATTTACACATTTTTTTAAGGTTGAACTACTCAAAGCATCTTATCATAGGTGCCCACAATCACAAGTTACCCATCGTGCAAGTTTTAAAACGACTGATTTTGCAAACAAAGTTCTCCAGCAGATATCTTCCAGACATCTTAAACACACATATATTATCACCCCTCAGCTGTCATTAACTGGAATGTCTGCACAACTCACTGACCACAGTGCGTATGGAGACACAGGCAGTCTTCTTCACACTTGGTTCCTAGGGGTCCTTGAAATACATGCTGAGGTCCACAGAGGTGCCAGGGCACCAACCAAGTGATAGTTTGTCAATACTGTCTATCATTTTATTGTGTCACAAAATCATAGAATGGCTTAGGTTGGAGGTGACCATAAGGATTATCCAGTTCCATCCCCTTGCCCCTCACAGAGCTGCTCCCCACCAGTTCAGGCTGCCCAGGGCCCCATCCAACCCAACCTTGAGACCCTGCAGGGATATACACCCACAGCTTCTCTTGGCAGCTGTGCCAGAGCCTTAACGCCCTCTGAGTAAAAGTTTCCTTCTAATACCTGATCATCCTCATGGCCCTCCTCTGGATCTGCTCCAACAGCTCCACATCTTTCTTGTATTGGGGACCTTAGGCCTGGACACACTACTCCAAATGGGGTATCAGTCCAACTCTTCTCCTAGCTGAACAGACTCAGTCCTCTTAGCCTATCCTCTTATGCCCTGCCCTTCTGAACAGCCAATAGCACTCTGTTCCAGCAATCCAGTCACAGCACTTATCCCACTGAGTCTTGATGATCACAGCTTTGGGAGAAGACCAAAGCTTGCAGTTCATCCTGTTCATTCCTCATACTGCATGCATTGGTGTACAAGCATTTCAGATACGCTTCTGAACCCATAGTGTTCCTTGGAGCAGCACTGACAATCCCATTAGCCTCAGACTGTTTTGTACCATCCCTTGCATTAAAATCAGTCTTCCTAATGGTATCCCCCTGCTCCCATCAATCTTTGCTTTTACCTAATGACAAGTTAGAAAATGCAAAGTAGTATTAAAAGCAAGAAAGAACACTAAGTACATCTTACATTGGAGCATGGGCGTCTCCAAAACGGTTTATGTTGTTGTAGTCAACTAGCTGCAATGTCTTTTGTGAGTACTTATTTAGCAGGCTGACGTAGTCAAATGGAGGTAGCACATCCGCAGATGGAGGAGATGTCACTAGATCTGGAGCATGCACACTCGAAGGACTATCTTGCTATAAGGCAAATACAATAGATAACTTAAAAGCTTCAGCTTAGTAAGTAGTTTAATATATGCTGCACATGAGAACTAATACAGCTGCAAGGTTTGCCAGCGTTCCAAAACACTTTTAAGAAATTTCAAGTTTGTATTGTTGTGCAACTTTGGACATGACAGAGGACAGTCACCACAAGCCAGAATCATTACAATTTTGAATTTCAGAACAATCATAAGTTTTCAAAGCATTTCAACAGGGTGTGTAACAACCTAATAGTGTATCTGCCACCTCTTTTAGCAAAAGGCGGGGAACAAGCAGTGTAATGTCTCATAAAAATGTAAGGACCAGAACCAAGAAAAGGGGTGCCAACAGGAAGCTGCTGCTGCTGCAGGGGCCGCAACTGCTCCTGTGCACGTAAAAATCAACATATTTACAAATGTAAATAAATCAAGACAATATAGAACCAGTTGTACCGTAAAGAACATAATGGCAAGAAGAATTAATCAGATCAAGTGAAAGTAAACCATTTTAAGAGAAAATGGCAACACACACTGAATAGTAGCTTGTATGTGTTCCAAGGACTTTGCATACAGAAGAGCTGCCAAGATAGTAAAGGAACGCTGTCCACTCTGGATATGCTAAGGCAGCTTAAAGACAAATGAATTACCTCATCTCTCTATAACAAAAAACAAACAAACAAAAAGGAGTACTCTTGATATTACCCTATAGTAGAATAATAAACACAATTAAGTGGTAAAATAACAAGTAGAAAAACAGTGAATACGACAAAACAAAACCAACATAAGTAACTGGAATCTCTTCTAAATTAAACAATGATAACTTCTTTGCTACTTTCAGAGATTCATTTTCAACCACTGTTAGCAAAATAAACATAAATCATACAGCTCGCTCACCTTTTGTACAATCATGTCCCACGTTTTTTTTGCTGCTGCTGCTTTTGCATCCTTCTTACTTTTACCAGTGCCTGCACCATACTCTTTACCATCTATTCTAACCACAACTGTAAACCTGCAATAAAGGAAACTTCCCTGTAACATCGGTAAGTTTTGTCTCAAATGTATTTTAAAACTTCTTCAGATGTAGTTTCAATATGTACAAAGCACTAAATTAGCTGTGGGGGTATCTGAGCATTCATAGTTTTATGGTGCTGAGATGTGTATGAGAATGCTAAAGATTAGCTAAATTTGATTTTGTGCCTTCAGAAATGACACTATGCTTACCTTCCAGTAGTGCCTGCAGTGAGCACAAAAAACGTGCCTGCTTGTACAGCTGGAAGAGTAGCGCAGTTAAGATGTTACTTTACAGGTGCTATAGTTGGAAAGATTATCATGGTGGAAAAGAAACAATCAAGGAAGAAATGCCCATATCCATACCATATCATGTGTTTTTATTATATCTGACTCCTAGTTACCATAGTTCCTTATAGTAAAGATTTTAAAAAACATCTTCCTAACCACAACTGCATGTTCTATACTAGTTCTAGTAGTGTTTCTAAAAGCAAAATTCTTAAAGAATGCATGAGGTCATCATCGTTACAAGGCAAGGTAGCTTTTGCTGAGTAATGTTTGCAGTTTATCAAAGCCTTTTCAGCTTCTCACTCTACCCTGCCGGTAAGGAGGCTGGGGTGCACAAGGAGTTAGGAGGGGACAGCTGACCCCAACTGACCAAAGTCTATCCCAGCTCATACCGTATGACTCAGCAAAAAAAGTTGAAAGACAGGAGGATGAAGTGGGTCCAAGCAGCCAATAGTGTGATGAAGACCTACTTTCTTGGGATTGACTAATAATCTGCCTGCTGATTGGAAGCAGTGAGTGAATTCCTTATTTTGCTTTGCTTGCACATAGAGTTTGCCTCAGTTTTCTTAACTCCCCAGTTTTTCCTCACTTTTGCTCCTCCGATTCTGTCTGTTGAGAATGAGTGTCAGAGGCACCTGATAGGGTCAGCTTATTATGGCAGCCCAACACTGCATTCTACTCAGAAGAGCCTGAGCCATACAGGATTTTCCTAGATAACACTATCATAGTTCACATCACCCACAAATACAAGGCAGCAGGTTGAATTATATTTTTAATATAAGAGTACAAAAAAAAAATGTAAAAGTGAAATTAATTGGATTTGAATTTGTACACACATTCTATTAGTCCCATGCAATCCCTTTTGAAGTATGAATTGCATGAGAGGAAAAAAAGATGATAGATCAAGGTTTGAGAGACAGATAATAATTTGCTCAGGGTCTGAGAATAAGACAGCACAGAGTGCAGGCTGGCAACAGGAGACCACCACTTAAAAGAAACATCCTGATTATGAGCATAAGATTTGTCTTTATGCAAACTAGCAAAGAAAAAGAAGGAAATATTATAGACATTGGGTATCTGTGATCTGTGGGAAGGGAAAGAACAACAGACATCAGACAGTACATTTGTCTTCAAACAAGAAACAACCCTACATATTCTATCCTCGGCATTTGTCTCCACAAATAAAAGCAAATCAATTTAAGACCCTTCTCTTGTAACAGATGTTCAAAAATGCCACACAAAAACATGCTGGTAACCAAAGAATTAATGTACACCCAACCTTTACTCTTAGAAATATAAATCGCCAAATTACTTTGTAAAACTTTATAAAAACCACAGCACTTAAATTATTTAAATAAACCGCTGGCTGCAATCCACCCACCTCACGAGGTGATTCGTGACAAAAAGCATCAATGCAAGACAACCGCCAGCAACAGATGCTCCCAAAAAGCACCATTAGCTCTGAGGTAAGTTTCCCATGGGCCCTTTGTGCCCAATGACACTTCCTGCACACCCATCGGTGTTTGCAGGCAGCTCTCTGCCACCCTTCCAGCAAATCAACTTCTGTTGACTGCAGTCTTCACCCAGTTTTACCTACTGCTGATGTTCATTGGCGTGCGTGGTGAACTTACTCAGGGTCATGAGATGGGCCTCTCATGTCCACATCAGCGTACTCGAGCTTGCACTTATTCCTCTGGCAGTAGCTGTTGATCTTGCTCATACACTCTCGGTCCATCTCGATGCAATATCTGAGTACCAAAAGATTCTGTAGAGAAATATTCAGGGCTGTGCCTGAGCCTCACACAGTGCTACAGAGACAGCCCGCGTTCTGCCAGAGCACTGCTGTGACAGAGGACAAAATGGTGCCAGGAGGAGAACAGCCAAAGAGAAGTAACTGATATCTCATTCAAGTCTCCACGTACATTGGCTTGTAACTGTATTCTAAACTTTCTGAGATTTGAGATTCAGAAAGCAGAACGACGAGTTTAGCGATGAAGGATTTCTCAGCCGATTCCTAGAAAAGAAGAGGCTGAATCACTCAGTGGATGCTGAGAGAAATTAGCAACGTTTCTCCATAAAGAATTAAAACTGCTTCCTTCAGCGCAGAACCGAGGCACTCCAGCCCGCACTCTAAGGCTACGAGGCTCTCAGGATCCGTGACGCGCACGACGGAAGCAGGAAGTGAAAAACAAACGCTTGCAGAAAAAAAAGCAGATAAATCAGTGAAGGTTACTTTGTAACGGGAACTCCAGGTACGCCCCGACCGAGCCCCTCTTCCCACGGCCGCCTGGCTCCCTCCGCCCGCTGTTACCTCCGCTGTCTCCGCCGGCCCGCGCCGCCGCGAAGAGCCGTGCAGAGCTACGCGGACGCAGCCTCGCTTCCGTTTCTCACAGCAGTGCGGCGCCGGCACGAAACGAAAGCGAAAGGCAGACGGGGAGCCGGGGGGGGCGGCCGCGCCTCCCTCACAGCGCCCTGCCGCGGCGGGCCGCTCGCTGCCTGCCTGCAGCGCTACGGCTCTGCGAGCGCTCCCCGGCTTACGCCTCGGGGCATGGACAGCGCGGCTCGGCGTTGGTGCACGTAACCCTACGGCCGCCTTCGCTGAGAGAACCGAAAGCCCCTTTGACAGCCATTCCTGGCCTGAGTTACGTAACTCGGTAAGTTTATTTACTAGCAGTAGAATAAAGACGTGAGAGGACCCGCCTTGCTGGCAGCACCACCCCGCGTCCTACGGGACTCCCTTCCCCCCCGCGGCCCCGCCCAGCGGCGGGGCGGGCGCAGGGTTCGGTGGTTTCCGCCGCTCCGTGCCACGCACGGCTTTGCGCGCTGCGGCGGCGGGCGGAGCGCTCCCGGCTGCGGGCCTCGGGCGCGGGGCGGAGAGGCGTCGCCATGGGGGTGCACGGCGTCAAGGCTGTCTTCTTCGACCTGGACAACACGCTGGTGGATACGGCGGCGGCCGGGCGCCGCGCCATCGAGGAGGTACGCTGGGGCGGCCGCGATCGGGCTGCGCGGGGCAGGGCAGGGCGGCGGTGTCCGGACGGGCTGTGCTCTGTGCGTTGCAGGTGGTGAACGCCCTCCGCTCCAAGCACCACTGCGGGGAGGGAGACGCCCGCGGGATCTGCGACAAGGTGCAGGCGAAGCTCCTCAAGGAGTGCCACGACCCCGCCAAGACGTGCATCACCGAGCTGCGGATCTCGCACTGGGAGGAGGCGATCCAGGAGACCATCGGCGGCGAGGCCAACCGCAGCCTGGCCGCGGAGTGCTACTTCTTGTGGAAGGCCACCCGGCTGCGGCACCTGACGCTGGCCGAGGACACGCGGGGCATGCTGACCGAGCTGCGCAAGGCCGTCCGCCTGCTGCTCCTCACCAACGGCGACCGGCAGACGCAGCGCGAGAAGATCGAGGCGTGCGCCTGCCAGCCCTACTTCGACGCCATCGTGGTGGGAGGCGAGCAGAAGGAGGAGAAGCCCGCGCCGTCCATCTTTCACTACTGCTGCGACCTCCTGGGCGTGCAGCCGGCCGAGTGCGTCATGGTGGGGGACTCTCTCGACACAGACATCCAGGGAGGGCTGAACGCCGGCCTGAGAGCGACCGTCTGGTTAAACAAGTCGATGGCGGCCCCGGCCGATGCCTCGCCGGTGCCTCACTACGTCATTTCGTCTGTTCTCGACCTGCCGGCGGTGCTGCAGAAGATAGAGCACAAGGTGAAGTTAGGGACGGACCGTGCGGCGGGCGGCACCGAGGCACGCTGAGGGCTGCGGCGCGGCAGGGCGCTGTCGGCTGTGCTCCTGATAAAAATCTGACCCTAGGGTTTGCAACTCGTGTACTTCATGTTTTTCTTAAGCAGTGGGTGGGCAAGAGCAAGGTTTTCAGTGGAACCGGGGTAAAAACAGAGTATTGGATTCATATAAAAGATGCAAGCGCAGTTAGCTTAAAATAACTGCCTGTATCTGGAAATTACTTTGACAGACCGGCTAAAATGTGTTTGTCTCTGATGGAAGTCCCTTGTTTCTATGCTGGAAAAGAAAACTGGAGTGTTTTGATCATTCAGTGGCAGTTATTTGCCTTGCTGACCTGTAAGTTCAGCAGAAGTTCAGTTCGAACCTTGCCTGCAGCACATTAAAAACATGGAAGTGAGGTGCTATGCAATTTGCAGACCTTCACAGTCCATCTACAGCTTATCTCAGAAACTGAAGTGAGTTTTGCTATTCCTGAGATCAGAATTTATTGATAGAACTTATGTAGCAAACCAGTAGGAAGTGATTTTCTCTGATCCCTTTTCAAGTTTTAGCATTTTTTTCAGTCTTTGCAGTGACTTTTATGGAATCTGTACCTGTTGCTAAAAGTACTTCAAGTGTACACACGGATTTGCATTTGTACGGGGGACCATTTATCAGAGGAACTCAATGGATAAGTTTTTACTTTATATCATCTCGGTGCTGCAAATAAGCAGTGTGCTTGTAAATCATATGATGATTTTTGTTGGAACATAATTGATACAACAGGGATATTTTCAATGATCATCTTACTGTACCGTAACTTCTTTGGCAGCTCATATTATTGTTCTGTCTGATTTTATTATGGAATTTTGATCAGACTCACTGGAGAAACTGTTTTTGGTCTTGCTCAGGAATATAACCACTCAGATTCAGCTGCAGCATCAGTGCTTTTTTTTTTGACTGTTTGAATAGCACTGCTATACAATCCCTCCTTTCCACTTGTGTTTCATGTGATTTACTCTGGAGAAGGTGTTAGTTGTTTGTAAATGGCTTTCGTGACGCTTTTCCATGGAAGTGGAAAACTTGGAAAATGGTGTCATGTGTACAATTACAGTGCTGTGTACGATTTCTTAATGTGTATGTGCATCTGGTGGAACATTTGAAACTAGATGTTACAGAGATGACCCTCTGAAACACCAAGATTTCTCTCTCCCAGATTATTATCTTAATAATTTAAATTTGCTGTACTTCATATACTTAATACAAAAGAAATAAGAATTTTGGGTGAATGTACATGAGAAATGTATCAATTTAAATTCATGTAAACAAAGGTACATTTCTTCTATACAACTAAGAAAGTTTCACATAGTGTCATGGATTCTGTTCAGAGGAGGGTGTTAATCTGCATTAAATTACTTGGCAATAAGTTTAATTTCCATGAAACCAAGTTTCTCCAACGTTGAAATAGATTGACGTGTTAATGCAAGCTTGAATCTCTTTCATCAAATTAATTCTTAAAAATGATGGAACCATCCACATTCTTAATGTCATGTAGCCAAGACCTTTGAGATGCTAGGATGACTGAGTACAGAGGCAGGCTCCGCTTGTACCTATGAGGAAACAGGCGTAAGCCACAAGTGAATTGCCACGTGTAACATGAGCCAGTGGGACTGACTGGACATGCCTTTGTTATTGGAGTAAGAAGCCTAAGTTAAGATTTCGTTTTGCCATTGAAAGTATGAAAACAGTCACTGGTGTAAAGCTTATGAGCTTTGTCATTAGCATTGCTAATGACATTCCTTATAATGAAAGACTTAAGAGAAAAATAATGAAGGTCATTGAATGAATATGAATATTGCTTAAAAGTAGAAGTGTATCCAAAAGGTTAGATGGATCCCTGGAAAGATAACTTAGTTGAAGTAATCTGTTTTAACCGTACTGAAGGAAAACAACTTTGTTTACAACAGCATCCCAGAGTGGAAGCAATTTAACTGCGCTGCTTGCATGGCATCAGGCTGACAGAACTTGCCTCAGAATGAGGTTTCTGACCCAGCTGTGATGTAAAATAATAAACAGAAGTAATTCACAGTTCTGTCTGTTGGCTTGAAGGATATTTATTTACCAGATTACCATTTCTTAATGTAAGTTGAGGCTTGTATTTTCTTGCTTTTGCATCATTCTGAAATAGGATGCTGAGCCCTGCTTGTTGTTTAAAAGGTCTCTTGTTTTGTAAGTCTGTTCTTTGTTTTGCACTTGGTTTTAGCCAGTTATTTTCTTATATTTATGATCTATGGAAAAAAAAATGCTGTAACTGAACACTCAGGGGATAGTGTGGTCTGTAGAGGTCACACCTAAATATACTTTTCCATTGTGAGTGCTGTACCAGGCTGGATGTGACTACCAGCTTCCAGTTAGGGCAATGCTATTATGATGCTGCTATAAAACAAGAAGAAAAGAGGTATCCATTGGGCATCTTAGAAGCAATTACCCAAAGAACTGGATTAGGTATCTGGAATATCTAAATACTCAAGGTGGTTTTCCTTGATGGAGCTGTTACAGAAAACCAAGTGAAAAATAGTTCTATTAATGAAAATGGAAAAACAAATGTAATGGTGGAATCATTTTCAAATCAAAAGTGAAAATAGATGAATAAAACTGTCAGTATTCAGTTCCAGTTAAGTTCTGGCTTTGCTTAGTGATATGCTCTATTAGGTAAGTTGTCTAGTTTAAATTATACTACCAAAACACACTAAATAAAAGAGAGAAAAAGAAATTATATTTATTTTTAATCACATTTTCTCAGATATCTCCTGAGGTTAATCTTCAGTAATGTTGATTTTAGATTAAATGAACTGTACCAACATTATAATGCCAACTGCATTCAAGACAACCCATGTACTAGTCTAATAAAAGTATTTTGTTTATAAAAACTTGTTTTGCACTTTGTCACTTTTTTTAAAATAGCACAGAATTGGCTTTGAAATCCGTGATGTTTATATATGTTGAATATGTATAGTTCTCATAATTTTAAAGGCTGAAGCAATAGTTCTGTATTTTTAAAACTTCTTGGCCTGACTGTGTACACCACACTGAATTCCTAACAGTGGTTAGGAACTGCCATGAAAGCATTTGGCTCTACCAGGCGTACAAAGACCTGTGTGTCATTGCATCTCCATTCTTGTTCGGGGGGCTTTGTATGCATAAGGTGTTGAGGTGCATAGTAACAGCATTAGAAATGGGGATTCTTTTTTATGTGCTTTTCGGCACAAAATTAGAGTTTGAAGTGACTCAAGTTTAATCTCCTTTTATGACAAGATGGCCCACCTTGTTTACCAAGGTATCATCGCTTTGGATTTCAGGAAAGTTTTTGCCACTATTTCTCACAAGCCTGACGGCAGCTGCAGCTCCTCACAGGAAGCAGAGGGGCAGCGCTGAGCCCTGCTCTCCACCCCAGGGCCCGAGGGAACGGCTCGGA